TCTTTTCTCTGTTGATAAGAATGTTGTTTATTGGTCCAGTGGTAAGAATTTTTGTTTTCTTTACATTGAGATGTAATCCATACCAAAGACTGTGCTCTGTGATCTTCATCAGTAAATGTTTTAAGTCCTCTTCACTCTTAGCAAGCAAGGTTGTATCATCTGCATATCGCAGGTTATTAATGAGTCTTCTTCCAATCCTGATGCCACATTTTTTTTTTGTTTTTTTTTTTCATATAACTCAGCTTCTCGGATTATTTGCTCAGCATACAGGCTGAATAAGTATGGTGAAAGAATACAACCTTGTTGCACACCTTTCTTAATTCAGTGTTCCATCCATGTTCCATCCATGTTCTGCTCAAACAACTGCCTCTTGGTCCAGGTTTCTAATGAGCACAATTAAGTGTTCTAGAACACTCATACTTAACAATGTTGTCCATAGCTTATCATGGTCTACACAATCGAAAGCCTTTGCATAGTCTATAAAGCACAGGTACATATCTTTCTGATATTTCTGATACATTCTCTGCTTTCAGCCAAGATCCGTCGGACAACAGCAATGATACCCTTGTTCCACAGCCTCTTCTGAATCCAGCTTGAACCTCTGGAAATTCTCTGTCAATGTATGATTGTAGCCATTTCTGTATTACCTTTAGTAAAACTTTACTTGCATGGGATTTCAAAGAGATTGTCCGATGATTTCCGCATTCTGTTGGGTCACCTGTCTTTGGAATGGGCACAAATATGGATCTCTTCCAAACAGTCGTCCAGATAGTTGTCTTCCAAATTTCTTGGCAGAGCTTTCTTGAAAAATTTCAATTTTGATTCCATCGATACCTGGTGCCTTGTTTTTTGCCAATTGCTTCAATGCACCTTAGACTTCCTCTTTCAGTATCATTGGCTCTTGATCATATGCTACCTCTTGAAATAGTTGAACATTAACTATTTCCTTTTGGTACAGTGACTCTGTGTATTCCTTCCATCTTCTCTTGATGCTTTCTGCTTCATTCAATAATATGCCAGAGATAGGTGACACTTTAATAATCGATAGAGAATCCACATAAATATGAAAGAGATAAGGCATTTCCTGCTATATATTTTAATGCTATCGATGATCAGCTTCTTGCTCCTGGTGCAGTTACATAATTTACAGGGCCCAGTGAAAAATGAAAAGCAAGAACATATCCATGAATGTGCTGGAGCATACAGGGGGCTAAGATCTTAGATATTACCAAACATCTTGAAGGAATGATTTGCTGGGCTTGGGGGCTCAAGACCATAGACTCAGCGTCCATTAGCATGTCATAGACCACAAAGACAAAGTTCTACATCCTACTTTGGTGAGTAGCGACTGGGATCTTAAAAACTCATGAGTGCCATCTAAGGTGCAACTATTGGTGTTTCCTCCCTGTCTGGAGGAAAGAAAAGTGATGAAAGCTGAAGATGCTTGGAAACAATTTGTCCAATGTACTGACGGACTTCATGAATATGTCTTCATGATCCTGAGGCCAGAAGATGGTGCTCAGCTACCACAATCAACTAATCTGAAAGAGATCACATTAGGTCTCGGATAGAGTGGGAGGAAATGTGAAACAAAACTCAAAATTATAAAAAAGACCAGACTTACTGGTCAGAAAGAGACTGGTGGAACCCCAACACTATGGCCATTGGTCACCCTTCCAGTCTGGAACAGAATTTACCTCTGTGGCTCAATTTTCAGCCAAGCAAAACGAGTCCTAGTGTGGTGCTATAGGATAGTACTGGACTGGTAACCTAAAGTCAGTGGTTAAAACAGACTAACCACTCCTTAGAGATACTATTGTTGTTGCTATTGCGATCGAGTCGGTTCCAAATCATAGCGACCCTGTATTGAGTTCCCAAGGAGAAGTTGGTAGGTTTGAACTGCCGACCTTACGGTTCACAGTCTGGTGCTGATCCTACAGCACACCAGGATCGCTATGAGAACAGAATTGATGGCACTGAACAACAATAGATTAGGTCTACAGGAGTGACAACAACCCTAGGAGGCATGCATCCCATAGAATGGATCAACCACTCGAGATCAAAAGGGCGTAAGAACACAGAATTCAGAAGGGTGAATAAAGAAGGGATGGAAACAAGAAACACCGGAAGGAATTGGAATAAGTGAATGAAAGGAAGTATATGATTTGTTGAATGTAAAACTGATGATCTGCTTCACTCAATTCACAATAAAAAGTATAAAGGAAAGAAAAAGAAAGAAATGTAAAGCCCCTTGTTGAAAAAAATGATTAAGAATTTCAAGATGGCCATGGCAGAATATTAAACTAAGTATGGGATCCTTCTGATCACAGAACCCTGCTACACAGGTTACAAGTCCATGAAGTCACCTTGTTTGGGCCTTTTTCAGGGACTAAACTGCAGGATTAACATTGGATTACATGGACATGCAGGCAGGGCTTCTAGGGTCAAGATATTCTTTAAGAATGCTCTTCCACTGTCTCCTCCCTAGAGGAAAATGTTATGACATGAAATTATTTATAATAACCAATAACAAAGTCAAAATCAAATCATTAGCAAGTATGAATGTTCTTCCTTACCCTCCTTGATAAATGAAGGGATTGAGGGCCAATTTACTTCAAGAAAATCTGCTGTAAAATCATAAATCCTGGTCACAAGAGTCCTTGAAGTCATTCAAGGTAAGAGGCAAAAAGAACTTTTAATGAACACTTTGATTACAGTTTGCAGAAAAAAAGATAATTCAACTATGATGCATTTTAGATTATAAACCAAGACCTTGAATGTTCTTGTCTTGTCTTGTCAAGGAAGTGCTACCGTTAAGATTTTTTTTTTTTAAATTAATTTAAACTCTTCATCTCCCATGAACAGAAAGCCAAATGATTTTAGGAGTCAGTATCAAGAGTTGTTGTTGTTGTTGTTAAGTGCCATCGAGTCGGGTCCGACCCATAGCGACCCTGTACAGTGTTTCCGAGGGTGTAAATCTTTACGGGAGTAGAAAGCCTCATCTTTCTCCCGCAGAGCGACTGGTAGTTTTGAACCGCTGACCTTAAGGTTCGCAGCCCGATTCGTAACCAGTACGCTACCAGAGCTCCTTAGTATCAAGAGTAGGTGATTCAAAAATAATCATGAATCTTTCTATTCAAATAGGATTTTAATTGTGACTTTCTTTGTATTTTCTTCTGACATTTCACAAGAAGGTGGAGTGGACCCAATATCCAAGAACTGCACATGCCAAAAAAAAATGCCGCTGACACCTAAAAGCCAGAACTAATCTGGTCATTTTTCAAAGTGTCCAAGGTGAGACTTAGAGAGAGAGCAAGAGTAAAAGGATGGAGGGTTCTCTGTGAATCACACCAATTAAAAGAAGGATTAAATCATCAGGTATGATGAGCTGCCCAGAGATAAAGCACTGAATATGGGGTCTGTGTTATAGCTCCTTCACTCAAATAGTGGTGATGTCATCTAATTAGAACCAAAGTTTCTTCTGTCTGGACAAAGGATTTAAATGAAAAAGAGAGAGGCTTTTGACTTTCAGTGGATGCATGACAGACTTCAAAGAAATATTCTCATGTGCAAGCCACATATTTAATAGTAATTATTCACCAAATGGGATGCTATCATCCTAGCCCAATTTTTGCCAACCAAAAGAAAACCAATCAATCATCCTTTTCCTCTAGAATTTCTTAACAGTTAGAGGGCCAAGCTTGAGCCATTCAAAGATCAAGATGAATCCTCTGGATAAAATGAGTGAACCCAACAAGTACAATCACACCAGATTTCAGAGGTAATTACAAATCCTTATCCTGTTAAATCTGTTAGTTTGTAACCTGGAGGCGCCAACACCTCCCAGAATTGCTGGGATGCCTTTAAAGGAGAATTTCTCAACCAAGACACTATTGACATTTCGGGCCAGATAAATCTGTTGTGGGGGGCCGTCTGGTACACTGTAGGATGTTTAGCAGCATCTCTTCCACTAGATGCCAGCAGCATCCCACCTCCCCACTCCTAGCAACCAAAAAATGTCTCCAGAAATTTCCAAAAGCTCCTTTCGCGCAAAACTCACCTCCAGTTGAGAAACAGTTGAAAAGAGATGATAAGGAATGAAAGTCAAGGACTCAAACGCTCTTTATACCAAGGAAAGATAGTGAGGCGCTTGGGTATCAGTGATTCTCAAACTTTGATAGGTATCAGCCTCCCGAGGGAGCTGGTTAAAATGCTGATTGCTGAACCTCACCCCTGATCTATCTATCACTTTAGTCCAGTATTGGGTTTGCACACACCAGTATCAACACTGATTTTGCAGGTAAGCTTATTGGGCCAGAGAGGGAAAATGCCTAGCCCAAGGTTATACAGAGCAAGTTAGAACCTGGACTCCAAACCTTAAATTAACCAAGCTCTTCCTAAAAACAAGGTGGGCTGAGGTGAGGTGTGCATGTGTATATGTGTTGCTTTTCGAGAGGCAGTAGCTAACGGTAACGGCAATGCTCTCCGAAGCCATCAGTTCAGGTTAAAATCGCCACTTGACAAACGGCGACCTTGCACAAGGTCCATAACCTCTGAGAGACTCAGTTTCCTCTTCTGTTAAATGGGACTAATAATACCTTCCTCTTAGGCTGTTGGAGGAACGCGATAACTCTGTAGGATAAGCACTGGACTGCTAACCACAAAATTGGCGGTTTGAGCCCACCAGTCACTCCACGTGAGAAAGATGAGACTTTCTCTGTGCCGGTAGAAATTTACAGCTTCGGAAACCCTGTAAAACGGTCTCTGTTAGTCGGAACTAATTCTCTGGGCACTTAACAACAAGAGGATGATCGGAAAGGTTAGAAGAGATCGCGTATACAAGGGCCGGGCACTCAGAACATGTCCGTTTGTCGTTGCTGCCATCCCACGATCCAGAGTTGAATGGATCCGCGGGACCCCGAGGGCAAAGACTTGGATGTGGACTCAGGGAGGCGAAGAAAAAGATCCCTAACTTGCCCTAACATGGGGCGGACCCTCACCTGGTCCCGCAGCTCCTTCTCCAGCTGCCGGTAATCATTGTTCCAGACTAGGAGATGCAGGGGAAAGAGGCCGCTGGCGTCGCGGGTCGAGGACATGGCGAGGAGACCGCAGCCGGGCCCTCGCCGCCCGCTCGCCAGAAGCCTCAGCCCCGGCGGGAACGAGAGGACTAGGCAAGCGAGCCGGCGAGCGGTGAGGCCAAGTGGCCTTCCGGGCCGAGTTCGGGGTGCGCAAGAGGTCGGGGGTCCGCCAGCAGTGTCTGGGACCTGGTCGGGCGCGCCCACCCCGCGCCCCGTCGCGCTCCCGCCAGCGCTGACAGGTCTGGAACCGACTTCTGGGGGCCGAACTGTCCCAAACAAGGAAGTGCAGGGAGCGAACCACTGCAAGCCGCGGCGGGGGAGGACGAGGCCTGGCGTCCGGCCCGGTGTCCGCCCAACCCCACCCACCTCCAACTCCACACTGAGAACGCAGTGTCATCCCCAAAACAGTTATGATTCTTTCTCTTGTCCCAGGATCTTGACACGGAAAGGATGGTCTACCAGTCACCAGTCTCATTCCCCTGCTTCATTGATGCTGGATGGTCCAGTCCACAACCGGGTCTCTTCCATTGGCTCTGCGGTCAACAGCAGGGACCTGGGCGAAACCATTAGAACTACTGACGCCTTTGCAGCCTTTTTGGACCCGGGTAGTCGCTTCCATGATTGGTCAAAAGCCATTTTGGAAGTGGGCAACACAACACAATTTTAAAGGAGGAACTATAAACCCTGGAAGATGGAACTATGGATAAGAACTCCACAACTAACCAAAAGGTTGACGGTTGGAAGTTGGAACCCACCAGCTGGTCCTCAAGCTAAAGATGTGGCATTCTGCTCGTGTAAAACCCCTGTACAGGGTCGCTGTGGGTTGTAACCGACTCGACGGCACTTAACAACAACAACAACAACAGAGATTTATAGTTTTGGAAAACATATCATCATCAACTGGATGGCAGTGTTTTGTTTATGTTGGTTTCTTTGGATTTTGGATTATGACTGAAAGACCTGATATGTAATAATATCCAGACTTGATCACAATATGCAAATATGAAGCTCATCCTTTGTGTTTCAAACGCCATATGGCTTTACCTCAGTGAAGAACCAAGTCATTTTATAGCCTACTCACCAGCCTGAGGAGTCCTGCTGTGGCGCTGTGGGTTAATGCGCCAGACTGCAAAACCGTTTGAACTGTAAGGTCGGCAGTTCAAGCTCACCAGCTGCTCCTTGGAAACTGTATACAGGGTCGCTATGGGTTGGAACCGACTCGACAGCACTTAACAACACCATCAACACCAGCCTAAGCTTCATCCTGCTGCTTCGCTCAGCTGTCTAAAACTTGTCTACATAGCTGGGCAAAGTTATTCAGTCCATTCTGAAAAGCATCCCTTAGCCTTCTCTGCTTGTGCGCAGCCAGCTTTTCAGATGCCTGCAACAACAGCTGTTCAAGAATCCTAGTCTAATCCATTCTCCACACATGTTGAGCCCAGATTTGTGTGTTGGGAAACCAAAACAGGATGCAGGCACATTGGAGTAGTACTCGTAGACTAACTGTGGAATGTGTGGGAACTATGTGGCTAGTCCCACAGCACAGTTATCAAGCGGGAGAGATGGACCAAGGAGCAATGCGTCAGAGGTCTCTTCTAGGATTTCTCTTTCTTTCTGAAGGCTTGTGCAACTTAATCTTCTTTCCCTCCATCCTCCATATTTCCTGAACATTTCTCCTATCTCATTAGTTGGAAAACTCCACATCTATCTTGTTTACTGGAGCACCTAAAGCCAAAACAGTTCTGGTCTTGTAATGGTGTTGTTGTTGTCATAGCAACCCTATATAGTGTTTCTGAGGAGCAGTTCGTGAATTTGAACCACCGACCTTGCAGTTCAAACCGACCTTGCAGTCCAGTGCATTATCCCATAGTGCGACACCAGAACGCCTGGTCCATCACAGGCATCCAGTATCAACACAGTGTCAGCAACAATGGACTCAAACATAACAATTGTGAGAATACGCAGGACCAGGCCGTGTTTTGTTCTGATGTGCATAGGGTTGCTATGAGTCAGAACCAACTCGATGAGACCTAACAAAAACAGCAACAACATTTGCTGATTGGAGATTATCATTGTGTTTACTTGTAAAACATACAACATTGGCATAGGGTCATAGCTCTTCTCTCCTTCACACTGATTAACCCCACTGTGTTTATCTCACACCATTCCTGTAAGTTACTCTGAATGATCTAGTCTAAATTTTTCAAATTTCAAGTATAGACAGAAAAGCAGTAATTTGAAAAAATAGTAATATCAGTAATAAAAGTTGTTGTTAAGTGTCATGGAGTTGGTTCCAACTCATAGGGTTGGACCCTACATAAGATTTC